AAGGGTGTGGGTGGCAGAATCTTAATGTAGGTACTGGGTCCATCTGGTGAAGTGTTTCATCCAAACCTTCCTTGGAAGCCATTAAGTTCCATGGGGAGAGGGGCTTTCTAGCCAAAATGATTAATTAGTGTCCTGTGAAGCCTAAAGCTGTTTTACTGTTTCTCTGGGCTTCTTCCCACAATTTTACCCATGTCTTCTGATTGGTCAGTGGTTATAGTGTGTCTTATTTTATGATAGTTGAGTAATCATGTTTATGAGATACGTGTAACAGATAAAAACTCTAAATGTCTTTACAAGGAAGATCTCTTTAGCGGATCCTGGCTCTCTGTGCCTCTTTTTGGATAGATGAAGTGTTTTTTTTTGTTTTGTTTTGTTTGTTTGTTTGTTTGTTTGAAGATTTACCTATTTATTTCAGGGAGAGAAAGAGAAAGAGCGAGAGGAAGGGCAGAGGGAGAGGGAGAGAGAGAATTCTCAAGCAGTCTCCCTGATGAGCGCAGAGCCCAGTGTGGGGCTCGATCCCAGGACCCTGAGATCATGACCTGAGCCGAAATCAAGAGCTGGCTGCTTAACTCACTAAGCCACCCGGTCACCCTGGACAGGATGAAGTCTTACACTCATCTTGCAGCCTGCCATTGAAATGTTTGTAAGCCAGGAAATCAGGCACAATAGTAGAGACGAAAGATAATGTTGATTTCTAATCATATTTTTACCCTTCACAACTATTTTATTTTATTTTATTTATTTATTTTTTTAAAGATTTTATTTATTTATTTGAGAGAGAGAGAATGAGAGACAGAGAGCACGAGAGGGAAGAGGGTCAGAGGGAGAAGCAGACCCCCCGCTGAGCAGGGAGCCCGATGCAGGACTCGATCCCGGGACTCCAGGATCATGACCTGAGCCGAAGGCAGTCGCTTAACCAACTGAACCACCCAGGCGCCCACAACTATTTTAAATGTGCATATATGTTGAAGGCATTCAAAAGATATTTGAAAGTGTTCTTTCATTAAAAAAACATTGAGCATCTACTATATGCTAGACCTCAGGCTGGGCCCTGTAAATGATAATGATTTTATTTTCAAATGTAATAAAAATACATAATTATGTGATAATAATACTAATGTTAAAAATAATACACAATAAGGTCTAGAGTTTTATATGTCATAAGAGAGAAGCAGATAAAGAGCTCTGGGAGTTCATGGACAAAGTACCACACACCATGCCAGGCACATGCTAGGGGGGATATTCAATAAATTTTAGTTTCTTTCCCTTCCTTTTGTTAGTGAGAAGGATTACTTTTTGTGCATTATTGGTGCATGTTTGTGCATGTGTATGTATATGTATGTGAAGGAGCAATGAAATACTTTATAAAAAAGTGATCTACTGGATCTGGATTTTAGAAGATGGTGAGTAGAAGACGTTCTAGGCAAAGGACACAGCACATATTAAAAAACAGAGGCAGGAGATTGCATGAGGGAAAATCTACTTGTTTGCTTTCTTGGAGCAGAGCGTTTGTGGTTGGAGTTGGGAGGAATAAGGTCAGAGGGAAGTTCAAGGATTGTGGGAGTGTTAAGAGGAGTGCTACTCCGATCACCTTACAACAGTATTTATTCTGGCAATATTTCTAAGTTTGTATGTCTAAGAAAAGCTTATGCATTAAGGCCTTATGCATTAAAAAAAAAAAGGCTGGTTACCAATTTTTGTTTGCCAAAAATCCAGGGTACCATATATCTGGTGAAAAACAATGAAATATCTAACAAGCTTGATGTCTACATCACTGGGCAATTTCTTCTGAGACAGGGATGCTGACCATTGTATCAGTCAGGATAAGTTATGTTTTGCTGCAGTGACAAACCTTCAATCTCCATGGCCTAATTCACTATAGTTTTTTTTCTCACTTACACAAAGTGTGTTATCCTACAAGAGTTGGCCTAAACTTCCAGATCACTTTGACATTATGAGTTTTCCCTATTTAAATATTCTCCCATGGCTTCCATAGCAGGGAACGAGCAGGCTGGACAATGAAGCACCAGTAATTAACTATCTCGTTGTGGACACATTTCACAAGTCACTTCCACCTAAATTGGATTGGCCAAAGCAAATCATTTGGTCTTGCCTATCTTTCTTTCAGGTTGTTTATTTCTGGAAGGCACAGACTTCATTTTGTTTATATTTCCCTCCCAATGCCTAGCAAATGGTAAGCATTTGATACATGCTCTCTTTTTCTTTTTACCATTTTATTACATAAATACTTCATGATCAATAAGAGTATTAAGATAACACAAAGGTGAATAAAATGGAAAGTGAAAGTACTCCTTCTCAAAATGTTTCAAGAATAAGTGAATGCAAGATCAGTTTTGAACTCTTTAGAAAAACATGTAAGATCTTTTACTATCTGGCCCCAATTTATCTTTTCAGTCCATCTTTCAGCATTTACTCACATGGATTATTTTCTATTAAATATATTTTCAAATGTGTACTTCCAAACTTTTGGGTCCTTTGCTGTTTTCTTTCTTTTGTTAATTTTATTTTTTATTGTAGTAAAATGCACACAACATAAAATTGATTATCTTAACCATTTTTAAGTATACAGCTTGCTATTTTCTTTGCCTGGAATTTTCACTCATTTTTTCTAAACCTGTTAAACTTCCTTTGGGAAGAATTTAAAAACTCTTTTTAAAAAATGTTTTATGTACTTAAGTCATCTCTACACCCAACGTGGGGCTCAAACTCACAACCCTGAGACCAAGAGTTGCAAGAGCCAACCAAAACTTTTTCTTAGTTTTCATAATTTCTGTCCTCTTCACAGCATTTGATAGTGTTTACTATTTTATCTTTAAAATTTTCTCATCTCTTATCTTTTCTGTGACACAGTAAACAGTGGACAAATAACATACTGATTCATTCATTTATTTATTCACTTCATGTATCAAGTGTCCTCTACATGCGAGGAAAGCATCTTGATTTAGATGAGGCAGTATTTTGTCCCTCTGATATAGCTCAGTATCCTTTTTGTTTTGCTGATTTGTTGAATTATACAGAGATAGAGTAAAACTTTTTTTCTGGGCCATGCATAGGATTTGCATATAGATTTTAGAATTGGTATTTAAAGTTATTTCCTTAATTTTCAAACCCTTGATGCTTATCACATGCTGGGATTTGAGGGAAACATTGCTGGCAAGTTACAACACAAGAAAAAATAATATCTAAATGTAATGTGTCAAGTTTATAAAAACAAACAAACAAAAACAGAATAAATAGATAAGGAGAAACCTAAGGTTTATGTGAAATTAGGAAAAATGAACAAATATGAACTGCTTGCAAGTGTACCTGATATTTAGAGAACTTGACTAAGTTAAATAATAGCTTATTATTATAATGGCTTATAGCTCTTCTACTTTCCTTTGGTTCTTTTGGAGGGGGAGTTTGGTAGTGAGAAAAGAAAATAGTTAGGGTACAGAGAATCTTACGGACAGTATTCAAAACAGAGCAGAAGACATTCGCCGTTTAGATGCACAGGGGAACTGTGATTGCTCGGGGGTCATTCCATGACCACGTGAATTCCCCATTGGTATTACAAGGAATAACATTTATGAGGAAAATGGAGTTGATACACAGCATGAAATTGAGACAAAAAATCTGCACTTTAAAGACTGAACCTAGAGCAATTGACGACAGAGAGACTGAGAGCTGTCATGTTGTTGTGACAGACAAAATGGACTAGGGTCGGTCTGTGGACTTGGAACAATGTGATTAACAAACAGGCAAGGTCAACTGAAGAAGATTCATACTGACATTTCCCAATGCCTCCTGGAAGTCAGGTAGAACATTCTGGTCTTATATTCCCCTGCTATGCTCTTATGCTTCATTGCTCTAGCCAAACTGGGCAGTAAAACTTGTAGCTTTACTATTGATGTGATGTTCTGAAAATTTCAGATCCTTCTTTCATTTAAATTTATTACCATCTTAGTGTTTTCATATTTTTAGAAAATTGGAGTAAACTTAAAAGTAATTGTAGTTTCGTGTCTCTGTCATTTTCTGGATGATAATTTGTCTTTGCTAACTCTTCCTCTTGGATTTCAAGAATTAGTTACTTATTCATTATTATCATTGACATTTCCTGTGCTTTCATTTGTTTCTTTACCACTGACTGTTTCCTCAATTTCATTATTATCAAACAGCCCTTCTGTGATAGACTGCTGTTCCCCATCTTCATATTGATTAATTTCATTTTCACATGCATCATTCTGATTTCCAGCATCTTCAGAGCAGTCTTCAGAAGATGAGTCGTTTGCAAAGACAGATTTTCATTAGTGGAGTCATCCTCAGAGTCAGAATGTGATGGTCTGTTCGCAGGAATATTGTTTGCTCCTCTGTGTCTTTCATTATCTCTTGGAAGGGATGTGCCTGATGTACTTGCTTAGTCATTATCCAAGTAATTAAAATCAAATGTACTTATTTTGTAGATTAAACAAGAACATTCTTTATTATGATTGTTTGCAATTGAAGCTTCAGGGACACTTTAAGCTAGATATTACATTAAATATTATTTTCCATTTAAATTAAAACATTTAATCAGAAATTCTGAAAAGCAAGATATGTAAGTTAATGCCTCATATGAAGATGAAGCATTAAGATGCAGTTCTACTGCAATACTTTTTTGTGAAGTTGATATGCAACAAATAAAATGTTTAAGAGATTATCAACACTGATGGTAGATTCCAGTCATTGGCATCGTTACTGTTCTCTATGTGTGAGTGTGTGTGCGCACGTGTGCATGCACACATAAGTTGTCAATGGATTATAAACTGTTTAGAACTGGGATTCTTTAAATTTCTAATGGATTTTTTCCCCCACTGTAAGTGGCGGGGGGGGGGGGAGGAAGTAAGGACATTTTGGACAATTAATTCATTAAAATTCCTACGTAAAAATGTGCTATCTGATAACTAAATTCCTATGTTAGGTATCAGTTAATACTGGAAGGAAACAAGAAGAGAAATTACCTGTTGTACTCTGGAGCTGTGACGTCTATGAAGTGCACAGTGTGTGTCTGCCTTCTTGTCTCAGGTGATCGGGGGGTTGGTGGCTGGACACTCTGGGGATCATACAAAAATATATTTTAGGAGCCAGGAAAGTTTAGGGGTCTGTTACAGAAAGGCAAAGGCGCCTGGTACTCCATAGATAACATGAGGAAAGACTCGTCCTTATTAAAAATAGGTTGGCAAAGATCATTATCTGAAGAATTTAAGAGCCAGAAGAAGTCAGAGGGTGAATTTGTATATGCAGGTCCTGCTGAGCTATTCTCCTGCCACTGCCTTTGAGGCAGTGAACCCCCTTGGCTGGACATAAAGAAGGCGGGGCTACTGAGGATTGTGGCTTCTTGAGGTGGAGCAGAATAAGACGGGACAAAGAGGGAGCTGAGAAAGTGTACAATTTCACTGGAGTCAGCGCAAAAGGCGAACACTATAGAGGTGTCTCCTCTCCCCTGTGATGTGGCAGGGGTTATGCCAGGAACCTTCCAGGTCTGCTAAGTGCAAGGCAGGAAGGTAGTGTTGTTTCAGAGGAATCACTGTGGGGTACTACTGTATGGAGTTGAGACAACTTGAAGCAAGCCCAGATTTGAGCCTAGAGAGGAGACGGGCAAACCCTGATTCTCAGCCTTCAGCCCCATGAACACCGGAAGCCCTACAGGTCTGGCAGCTGTGAGGAGGGGAGTTTCAGCCAGTGTTTGCGAAAGCACTGGCAGAGGAGGATACTGTAGACCTGAGGGAAATGTGCCCAGTGCAGGTGTGTCAAACCAAGTGTCTTAGCTCAAGCTGCTACAACGCAAATCCCATAGACTCAGTGGCTTAAACAATAATATGCATTTCTCCTAGATCTGAAGGCTAGAAATTTGAGATAAGGTTGCCCGCACCATCAACTTCTGGTGAGGGCTCTCTTCCTGGCTGCTAGACAATCTTCTTGCTTCCTCCTCACGTGGCAGAGAGAGAGAGAGAGAGAGAGAGCTCGCTCTGTTTCTTCTTATAAGGGCACTAATCCCATCATGAGGGCTCCACTCTCATGACCCAGTTACCTCCAAATACCATCATATTGGGGATTGGTGTTTCAACATACGAATTTTGAGGGGACATGAACATTCAGTCCATAGCACTGGGTAATATGTCTTCTGACTGGCAGTTCTGGAAGGATTTGTTTAATGGAGAAGAGTATCTGTAGCCCCCCCCCAAAAGGAAACGAATAAGCCCTTTTCTATCCTGGGGCAGATAAGCAGAGTGGACCATAATCCTAGAGCCTGACTTGGTCATACTATGTCTGAAAAGTTGGGCCTAGCTCTCGTGCCATGGGTGAGGTAGGGTCCTGACACTGCCCAGATCTGGTGCTAACTCAAGTAACAGAAAACCAATGTGACTTATTTCATTTAGCATAATACCCTCCAGTTCCATCCACTTCGATGTAAAACAAACAAACAAAAAAGAAAACCAATGTGAACTTGAAACTCACAGGGCTTTGGGGGCCCTGTTTGATATTGGTGACTCATTTCTGATTTATCTGTTGGATTGGAGTCTATTTGGTAGAATGTTTCGGGATCTCATTTGCCTTTTTAAAACTAATTTTTTTTCAGTTAATTTCCTTTTGTGCTATTCACTAGATTTATCCCTTCAGTCCATGTGCGTGCGTGTGTGTGTGTATGCTTATATGCAGCATAATATATATTTCAAAATATGTTAAAAATTCTTTTGGAACTATACTATCTTAAGTTTTGTATTTAGATTTAAGGAAACCTCTTTAAACTATAATTCTCCTGTGCATAATAATTTCATGCCTATCACACAGCTCAGGCCATATATGAGTTTACTTGGAGTTATTTACTTTAATAGTAGACAAAAGCAAAACAAATATTTTTTGCTGTTACATCAAGTATGATATCCTTTCTCTTCTCTAAGCAAATTAAATTTATTAGAATAATTTATGAGTGACCATTGTAAGACCATGGGTTTCTCTTGCTTCCATTGTTAATGTGTGATTCCATTGTTCATTAATGAGAAAAATGAAGTTCACAAAAGTCAGTATTCAAGTTCTGCATAAAGACTATTAAAATAAATGGAAGAAGTCCAGAAATATCCCAAATACTCTCCATACAACCCAGACATGCACTTAAAAAAAGTGTTAGCTGATTTGCTTCAAATTATAATAATTTGGGGCTATAAGAAGGGAAATGCAGGGAATATTGGAAAAATTAAAATCAGCCACTGCTACAAATATTATCTCCTTACCACCATTCTCAGTCATTTTACGATAAAATTTAGAACATATATGCTGGTAAAATACTATCTCCTTTTTTTAAAAAATTACATAGAACTGATAATAAAGCACTAGTTTTATCACCCATCCCTCCTCACCATCTATTAAAGGCTGTGTTCTTTGTTTCAAGGTCTTGTTGAAATAAAACAGAATGAAATTAGTGACCTTCATACTGACTTCCCTAACCAGCTTCTGGCAACCGACCCAGCCATCAGTCTGTCAATAGCTTGTGCAGTTTCAGGTTTCATTTGCAAAAAAGAAAAAAAAGAAAGAAAAAGAAAAAGATTCTAGTTCTCTTCCATAAACATCATATTTCAATTGTTTCTTTAAAAAAGCGCTGAGTACAATTTACACATGTTACATACTAATAAAGACCTACTTTGTGGGTAGGCTTTCTGTAGAAGTAGGGCTTGATTGGAAATGTTTTATTTGAGGCGTATGGATAAAGCTGCAATAGTGAAGCAAATATTTATAATTCTTCCCTGTTTGGTTTCGGTTTGTCAATCTTTTCTCTTCTTTACATAAAACAACATCTTGCATACAAACTGTTTGGAAGTTTGAAATAGTGGCATTCCAAATGTAGTCAGAGAAAGGAAATTATAGTTAAATCTAGAAAAAAAAGTAGGTAAGGAAGAAAAATGCTGTCAGCTCAGATGTGGAAGCATGGGAAGAGCTTCAAGGCATTAAAAGATGAAGAATTATAGTTCCTGCGCAGAGAACATAGGGCCATTCACACACAATGCGATCTGTACCTTTTAATCTTGTCCTAAATTTAAGCCTGTTTGTTCAGTACCTTATTTCTTCTTTTCCTCCTTCTTGCTGTTCTCATCTTTTCATTACGTTCTTTTTTAAAAAAAATTCCCGTCCTCATGTTTCTCCTTGTTTCCTATACGTATTTTTTCTGTCCGGATTCAATAGTAGAACATTGAAACGTTTGTCCCTCTTAAAGAGAGACTCAGTTGTTTCTGCAGAACACTTGTCAGAAATTCGGGCCGTTGCGTCCCATGTAAGTCTTCCCCAGAATCAGAAGCTATTTCGTTTCAGCTGTCCCAACAAATCGTGCCTACATTCCAATTGTGGATTTTCTATTAGTGAATTCCTCAGAGTAGGACACATTTCCTCAAAGTCAGATTTCCTGAAGTCACAAACATTTTATTATTTCCTTTAATCTTTCATGACTTTGCATTTCAACCCCTGTAATATTTATTATCCCTGGATCCTAGATGTTTTCTCATTGTGACCTTAAAATTGCTTATCATCCAGGCTCATTTCCTTGTGCTTGGTCCAGAATGGTCTCAGACTGCCACGGTTCTCTGCCCTCTCAAGATCCGTGACATCAGGGGTTAGAATTTTAGTCCTAAGGAGAAATGCATCTCCAGGTTTACTTCTAATATTTCACACACACACACACACACACACACACACACACATATATAACTTGGAGGGATTCTTGAGTTTTAATATGTTTCATGTAAAGAAAATTCTGTGTCTGAGCCTGTCTACCATGGTAGGAGGGAGAGCGCCATATGTATTTTTCAAAAGCCAGTGACCACTGTGTCTTTGAGAGTTTCTTCTGTATTGTAGGCAAACTGTTGTAGTTACTATTTGAAAAGCAGGGCGAAGACAGAAGAAGATTGCTTTTATTTATTTATTTTTTAGACTTCTACAGTCTGTCTGCTGTGTACACAGATCTAATTTTTTCCAGTCTTCTCTCAAATTTGGATATGTCTTTGCCATTTAAAATATGCTACCAAGATAAAGGGTCATCCCAAGATACTTTTGGTACTTTCGGAAATATTTGTCCACACATTCTTTCACCTGTTACCCCTGGAGGCAAGGATAGTTTTAGTCTGTTTAGACTAGTCTATTTAGAAACCCCCTCCCAGGACCCTCTTCCCCTTCCCCCAACAAATCAATGCTGAAAACCATGAGACCAAAGATCTTATTGAGGGACAGCCATGAAAAAGAACTTCTGGCTTTGGAGTTTGAGAGTCCTGGGTGCAGATGGTAGCTTGACCTTGGTGCATTTGGGCAACTAGCTGAACTTTGTTGAGCTTCACTTTATTCATAGTATATAATGTACAGAAAGCTCGCAGTGGACTTCAGTGAATGGTCACTAGTGATAGTAATAAAGTCGTTGTTTTTTTAAATTTAAAGTCTTATTAGATGGTGCCCTTTGGGATTCATATTCTTGGAGTGTTAAAGGAAAAGCACTTCCTGCATCTTATCTCCCAATCTCTTTTTATGGCATCAGCGTCACTGAGCAAGAATGGAAACCACGGTGTTTTCTGCCACCTTTATTGAGAATGGGATGCTGCCTGTCGAGGTTTACTCTATGGTAACTTAAAGTGACTTGAAATCTCAAAGATTCAGAGACTGCCTGAGGATCTTGCACAGCAGACTGAACTGGCCTTAGCAACCCTGACTTATTTCTTGAATAGATCTCCATAGGACTAAGGTCATGTGATAGAGTTGACCGGTTATGCTCTCTGGAGCCAGCGATATTTGGGTTCCAGCCCTGGTTCTACCACTTAGACACTGTGTAGTCTTAAGCAGTTTGCTTTATCTTCCCAGAGCTTCCCTTTCTTTGTCCACAAAATGATGCTAATTGTATTTCCTGTCCAGTGTGCCATGGCGTGGAATTGTGTCTGGGTAGCACCCAGAGGAGGTCGCAGGGATTGAAGGCATAAATGGCCTCAAGAAAGAGTGAAATAAAACCCTGGGTTTGAGTTTTAACCTTAATTTTGCCTAGTCACCTCAGGAGGGGACTAGGACAGATTATTGAATCTGGATCTCTAAATTGATATGGTGGAATGAAGCCTTTTGAAAGGCATCACCATTTTGGCGGAAGCATATCACGGATGTAGAGGAGTGAAGTGAAATTCCAGACTATTTTTTCACAAATTGTCTTTTGGCGCCACTTTCAGAGAAAGAGTCGAGTTGGAAGTGTGATACATTCTACCGTTTGGTTGTTCTTTTGTCCTTTTGATGGGTGGGGAATGTGGGGCAATGGCTGGGTCTGCATTCGAGCTCCTGGGAAGGCAGAATGAAGGGCTTAGTCACAATTTCTTCCTTGTAAAATTTTTTTCCCCAAAACCCAGGAATAATTCAAACTTGAAAGAAATATTCCTGACGGCTGCAGGCCGATGTGCATTCTGAGAGCTAAGTGGGGTGAGTCTCCGGGTCTCTGAAAACATAACTCCACAGGCAGACGGCAGACAGTGACTGGCCATTCGGCAGTTGGCACCCCCAGCTGGGATTTAACCCCAAATTGTGTTTTCAAATGATACTCAAGAAAAGAAGGGTTACGACGCGTGTTTCACAAAAGGAACTTGACACTTTTCTCTCACTGAGAGTGTTTGTTGTGTTGAACTCGCGTTCCCTTTCCCAGCCCGAGAAGAAGTGCATTTCCAGATGAATCTGTGGCATATTAATTGTATGGGGAGTTTGTGTCTCATAAGGCTAGATGAAATAATGAGCAGATAAGAAAGGCTTCATGGCAGCATCTGCACAGAGGTCTGTGACACACTTATCTGCATAAGAATGCCCTCCTTACTTCTGAGGAGTCGTAAAGACAAATAAAAAAAAATACACCCGTTTGAATGACAAAGGCAACAGTAGTGCCCCCTGAAGGTTTGCGCTGGACCCTGGCGGCCTGAGGGCTGTGACAGGGACCGCTAAGTGGCAGGCAGGAGCGGCACTTCTGCTGTCATGGCTTCAGCAACCGTCACTGTCAAAATGGAGCACATTCATTATTCAGGTACAAAACTATAATTAAGCACATTGGCCAAGAAAGGGGGAGGGGAATTGGACGGTTCAGGGAGTTGGAAGTAGGATAAAGAGCAGTTCTCCTCTAGGTCACTAGTTCAAACTTCGCCCATATTGGTAATGACTGACAGTCATTAATATATGATGGCTGTTTGATGGCCTATAGGAGTAGGTGCCCATATCAGAAAAGTCACCGTTGTAATTGGCATTAATTGGCACTTCTGTTGGCAGCGTCAGCTGAGAGGCTGAAGATTGAATGGGCTATAGCGAGTGAATTATCCTCTCATCCTGAGCAGTGGGCCTCCCAGGGCAGAGATGAAGCACCAGCGAGGTGCACGGTGGGAAAGCGGCTGCTGGCCCCGCCACTTGGGCTCTGCAAACGGAGGACATCAGTCTGCAGTGCTCTCTCTCTGGCACCTGGCTTGACGAGCAAGCGCACTGAATCTACTTAAAATCCGGCCTCACCGAAATGAACCGTGGGCCCATGAAAAGCGAAAGGGTCCAAGTGTGAGATAATGAGGGGGTCCCTCCAGGGCATCATAGTCTTCTGGTTTATTTCCTGTTAAACCACACTTGGTCAGAGAGCCGAGCAGCTTCCTCTGTGGTCTGTAGCAGGGACTGATTGTAACTTATGTTTTGTTTTGTTTGTTTTGTTTTTAAACCAAAACCCTACTCTTTTTGCAAATGAAAAAGCAAAAGGCTCTCTTAACAACCTGTAGTAAAAAACTGTTGAACAAGCCACCATGTTGACTTTTTAATAGTTGAGAATTAAAGGTCCCCTGTAATCATTTTTTGCTCTTCATTGATTTAAGGACCCAGTCGAATAATAATTTAGACTCAACTTTTCATCTCTGCATAGATTCATGATTTGTAAGCTGTTTCTGGCAACTATCTCTATAATACCAATGAAATTTCTTTTTATTCATCTCACTTTTTGGCTCGACTCCCTCATAATTAGCTTCTAGGTCAAAGTAACAAGTATTTAAGACTAAATTTCTGTGGATATCAACTCCTAGAGGACATTTCACAGCAGCGGTACCAGCCCCAATTTCCTTCGCATTCTTCATTTATCTCCTATTTATGCTGAAGGAAGGTATGTGGACAACGTGTTTTCTGAAAAATGAAACATCACAAAGAAGTTTACTTTTTTGTACTTTGAACGGCTGTTGTTTTCAGGCTTCAAAAAGGCAGATTGCCAAAAGTACAGTTAACAGGAAAGCAAAATAGAAGAGCATTTAAAGAAGAGCAAAAAATGTAATGGTTTTGTTTAAATTATTGTTTAAATTATTATTTAATTTACAAGAAAAGCTATTTGTGTGGTTTAAAATATCTGCAAAATCAGAGCCCTTTTTCTTTCAAGAGAAAAAGTGATGTCTTAAAATACTTGTATTTGTATTAGAATAAGTTCTACACAACTTAATTTTTGGGGTGGTTTGGACTTATAAATGAAACATCTCATTTCCTCCATATTTTCTTTAAGTGTTCTCCTGCAAAACCTAGTAATTTTCTGGCTCTTTAGTGTTGCAAAATAAATGTGGAAGTTTTCCTATAGGTGGCGCTCTTGCACACATTTTGCTTTCAGAAACGTCCCTCTAGATAGAACGAGTTTGGCAGGCAAGTTTAATGGAAGCTGCTTAATAGTATACATTATATATCATAAATTCTACTTAATGATTCTGCCCAGATAAAGAGCTATGAGCCCATTCTTCAATGATTGATATGCTTGTTTCATCCAAATTACCACCATTTGGTATATTATGACTTTTATTAGCAATCCAAGAATTTTAACAAGTAGATCATGGCTCACACACATTAAAGTGTGAGAGAAATTTGGACCTTCCCGTGTTCTCCCCAACAGCAGAGATGACACCTTTATGTTTCCTATTTTCAGAATAAAAATTTCAGGACATGATTAAAGGAAGGTGGACAGTGCACTGAAGGAGTAAGTTCACTCTCTTGAAAGGAAGAGAATGGAAGCAGGGTACTCATGGCCCAAAGTAAGGGAGTGCTTACCATCAAGATGTTACCCAATGAGCTGACAAGAGTCAGTACTCGAGAAAACATTACATATTATACATATTGTCATTTATTTTAGGTGGAGGGAGGATACCATGAAATTTTAATTTTTGATGAAGAGATGGGTTGGATTAAGAAAGATGAGATCCTGGGGGTCTGCCTGTGTGCCTGAGAGAGGAGACAGGAAGAAAGAGGAGAAGAGTAAGGAGAGGAGGGCGTGGAAAGAGGATCAAGACTGTTTTCACAAGGAGTGAGTGGATTGGGCTTTCACTGGGATGGAAGACTCC